AATTACTACAAGAGACATGCGTGAGGCTCCTTTGAGTGTGTGGAGAGTGATCTTAAGCATGACTGTGGCTGGGTTTCAGAGGTCTTCAGCTGCCGGGGCTCTGCTCACGGCAAGGAGGGAAACTCAACCTAGTAGCTAGGCATTACAACTGCCCCAGTTGTAATCCCATCAAGACCCAGAGACTATAAAACCAAGCTTCTGGAAGAGAACAACACAGAATCTTCTGCCCCCTCTCCTGGCTGTCCTCACCAGGGCCCTTTGGAAGTGGGCGGGTTGAGTTTCCCTTCCGACCCTGAGCATGAGATATTCACAGAAAAAATTGAGGTTCTCATATTAGAAGTATAAGATCTGTATACAGCAATTATGTAGTTAATCATGTTCATAACAACTTCTGTGAGGAGGTTGGTGTATGCCCAGCTGTTATCAAGGCTTACTCATGAATGTGTGCTCAGGAATACAGGTTGACCACAGGCAGGGCAAGGGTCTTAAACCCTATCATCTCTTGCAAGTCACTAGCATTATAATTTGACAAAGCAACAAGGACAAACATTACAAAATAAAATAAAAAATAAATTACAAAATAAAAAGTTCTGGTAATCACTGCATCATAATAAACCCCGCAATTGAACAAAGAGGAAAGTTTATATTTTATTTTTACTTCTACTTAGTGCTTTATTAATAGGGTGAACATTGTGTTAGACCTTTTCTAGTGAGATGCATTTAAGCTCCAAAGACAATAAGACAATAAGGATGGTCAGATGTTTTTATAATTTAATGCTGTGACTATAAGGAATAAACATACTTTGCAGTTTTTTTTATCCCCTATGCATATCTCTGCTTAGTTTCATTTCTATTTCACACAAAAGAAGGTAAGATAATGTACCTTGCTGTGAGGGCCCAGATGCAAGTAATTAGTACAAGAGACTTCAGCTATGACATCTGAGGCCAAGTCTCTTGAACAAACTCCATTTTACCTAGTGACCCCACTGTAGTGATTAATAGGCTGAGTGCTAAGCCCTAATGAGTGTGTCAGATCTTAGATGTTCTCTAGGCTAATGCAATTAGCATTATTTTCAACACAATATTTCAGGTACTTAGTAGAAAGATTAATTACACACCATAGTAAACTATATATGCCTTTCACTTACTTTTTAAAAAACTTTTTAAAAATAATTAATTACAAGACCTCTATAGGTGAAGACCTTACAATTAGGACTGAGAAACTGAAATATTTTAAATCAAATACTGATTTTGTAAAATAATTTAATTATCATTGATATATATATATAAAAAGTAATGTTTTCAGAGATTAGAGTGACATTGTAATTTTCCAGGTTAAATCAAGAAAGTTTGATTTTATAAAGTTTGCTGGAAGAGCCAGGTCAAATACAACCTATTAAAACCAGACAATATGTGAACCGCATTAGACAAAACAACATAAAGTGAATAACTGAACCAATAACTTTGTCTTAGAATGACTGAAACAATCAGAATTTTTATTCCAAATGTTTACTAGGTTTATGAAAGAAAATCCTATCCATGCAGAGAAGGGAATTTATTTTCATATTGAGGTTTTAAATATATCAATTCTTTCATGGTAAAACATTTAAAATAAATCATGAAGGTAAAACATGGCTGTTGTTACCAACAAACAACATATATACATATATATGCATCTATCAGTGGACATGGAGAATAGCAACATTTCTATACAGTAATCAAGGAATTTTTTCTGCTTATAAGTGAAAAATGAAGGAATATAGAATTTCTGCACTTTCATAATTTTCTTCTTCTTTATTTTTTTTTTGCTTTTTGGGTCACACCCAGCGATACACAGGGGTTCCTCCTGGCTGATGCAATTTGGAATTAGTTCTGGCAGTGTTTGGGGGACCATATGGGATGCTTGAATCTAACCTGGGTCAGCCACATGCAAGGCAAATGCCCTACCCCCTATGCTATTACTCCAGCCCCCTACAGTTATTTTCTTTATAGCATTTGTGCTTCATTTTATATTCCATGTTTTAAACATAGAAAACTTAGAACAAACATAAATAAAATAATGTAATGATAAATAAATATTATTGACACTAATATATACTTCAATTACTCTCCTTTTTGAATGAGCTAGCCATTGAAAAACTATCATATGGTCATGGCAATACTTAAATGGAGAGTTATATATCAGAGACACACTAAATTTTGTCCAGCTCCATCTCTTTTGCTAGGAAGTCTGTATTCCCCGTTATCCCCAAACCCTCTCTTAGGGTGTAAGAGAGGGTCACTGGGTTATGTTAAAAAATGATATTAATCCCTTCCAGAATTGATTTCTAAAATATCATACAAAAGTTCATGCTTTTATTTTCTATCCAGTCAGATGGAATATCTTTGAGACCATGACAAAGCTTTAGATGATTGTATACAACTAGATAAAACATTGCTAGATCAGACAATAAATAGGTGTTCCCTAAACACCCTTTGAGGTAATCTGCTTAAAATTAATAGAGACAGTAAATTAGATAAAATTTGACTTAACTAAAAAGATACACTATTTTTTTCTTGATTTGAGGGCTGGAGAAATAGTTCAGTGATACAGCACCTACCAGGCACACATCTAACATGGGTTTGATCTCAAGCATCGCATAGGGTCCCCTGTGCCCTCCCAAAGTAATCCCATACTAAGTACCTAGGGAGAAAGGAAAAAAGGAAGAAAGAGATGGATGGACAGTATTGTTTTTATTGCTTATGAGGTTGATGTATACCTGATAGAATATTAGGAATTTTTGATGTGTGTACATATGTATATATGCATATGTATAATTTCTTAGAGAAACAAGCTTCAGGAGTGTATAATATGGAGAAAACACAACCATGTGTCTTAGATAAGCACATTTTTAAGCTTTTGAGCTTTAGGAAAGATGACTTTGAGTGTAGTCCTTGCAAAGCATTTTTTGTTATTGTTTATTTGTTTGGGGACATACTGGTGGACTTAGTAATTACATCTGGCTCTGCACTCAGGGATCTCTCCTGGTCATATTCAGGGAACCATATCAAACCTGGGTCAAACACATGCAAGGTAAGTGTCCTATCTACTGTACTATTGCTCCAGATCTTGCAAAGTATTATTAGGAAACTGCTCAGCCATGCAATAGTAGAAAAATGTATGGTGTCTAAACTTAGTATATCTATAGCCATCTAATAATACCAATGCACTTTTCATAGCAATTGCTCAAGGAAAAATCTTAGAATATGCTTTAGAAGCAGGAGTTTTTCATTTACATACATAAACAGCATTTTCAAAGTACCTTTTGCATTGAAACAAAAATGAATACATTAAATTAATTTAAAATAAGACAGACATACTAGATTAATGTAAAATTGGTCACATACAGAACGTGAAAACACCACAATAGCACAGGCCACCCTACACAGAAGTTTAATAGAAGTTTTTTTCTTTAAGTTGGGAGAAAAATGAAAAGACAATATCCTAAAGAATAAATGTGTCACTGAACAAATGACTTTGGTAAGGGTTTTCCTGTAGAATTGATAAATGGAAGATCTGTCCTAGATCTGACTCTGCCACATACCAGTTTTTTTTTTTTTAAAGAAGTCCTGAGAAAAGCAGAAGAGCACAGTGATTAAATGTTTGAGGTTCCAATTCTGTTACTAATGAGATCCTTGATGTGAAAATCTACTTAAATCAGTATTTCCAGAATGGAGAGAAGTTAATGTTTATCTCACAACCAGGATAAGTTTATCTGACACAAAGCAGCAATTACAGATACCTTAGTTGAAAGTAATATTGGATCAACATAAAATTATATAAATTGATGAAAGTTGTAATTCTATTATTACAGACCATATTATCTAAAGCATCAAATCAAGGAATATCAGTAGATTATTTGCACACTTGACTTTAAAAACCTCGCAATTAGAGTCTACATTTGTTTTTTTCAATTCAAATATCAAGCTAAAAAATAAAAAGAAAAATCTTTTTTTTTAAATTGAGGCTCCATGATTTATATAACTGTTAAAAACAGAATTTTAGGAATCCAGTGTTCTAACCCCACAGCCACCACAGCTTCCCTCCTTCGATGTCCCAGGACCCCCTCACATAAAACTATGATCCCACCCCTACTACCTTTCAAACCCCCAAACATTCACTGTAAATTTAATTCTATGAACTTTTGCCTTTGGCCATTTGTTATTTTCTTAATATATATATATATATATATCCCACATAAGAGAGGTCATTCTGTAGATTTCTTCTAAGTAACTTCACTGAACATGTTATTCTATAGTTCTACTCACACAGCGTTTAAAAAATAACAAAGCAAAACTAAGGATTTTAAGTTATGACTTAAAAAAATCTATGATAGTAAAATCACTTACTGAGATTGATGTAAAGAATACAGTTGACAATAACATACTTCATTTATAATTTTAATACTTAGAAGAGATATCAGTCGATCTTATAAGAGATATAAGTGTAATGAATTACACTTCACTTAAACACAAAATGTATGTGATAATATTAATGTAACTACCTAAAATGTGATATTTAATAAGTACTCGAGATTATGAGTTATTTACACCACACAAACCTCTGTTTTGCAGCAGAGGTGAAATTTTTTTTGAATTTATAGCTTATCAATAATAAAGTTTCTTATTCAGAAGAAAACATTAAAAGTAACAAATGATACACTACAGGATAGACTCCATTCTGAATATAATGGAAAGATATTTCCCTTGGATATTTTGCAATTTAGTAAATCAGTGCTAATAAATCCTCATTTAAGTAAATAGTTAAGATTCAGGTGGATAGTTTATAATTCACTGTATCACCAACATAAATAATCAATCTTAATTATACTTTTGGTAGGCTTTAAATAACTATTACATCAAAAGGGTTTTTAATATTCCAAGATACTACATGAAAAACATTGTAACATGGCAGAATTGTTTTCTTAATCTAGAATTCAATTAATTAAATAGAATCTCACCTCCTGCATACATAACAGCCAGCATAATGGATGAAATCCATGCTACTTCACTGAATGAAGTGTTGAATACTAACTGAATTTCTTTGAAGAACACTGTGATGGCTTTAGGGAGTGCATATGAAAAGCCAATAGAGACAAAAGCTGCTCCAATCACTACCCAGCCCCAGCCTCCATCAGGAGGTTGATATAGTACAGGTACTGCCATTTCTTCTTTTTCTCACGTTCAAATAAACTGTGTAAAAGAAAAACAAGAGGACAGCTTAAAATCATACTTCCCTTTTTTATGTATCAATTTTAAAATTCATCAAAATGGTATATTATAGTTATAAATATAAATCTCCTTCTGAATCTTAATAAACTTTTACCCAATAATTTATAAAATATTAAGGGGTACAAGTCACTGTTATGTTATAATACTGAAAGGATTTAAATTTTTGTGAAAAAATCTACGAAATTTAGTTTTAAGGAGTCTCCTTAAACTCTGAGAACTCATGCCTATCTGGAGATATTAACACCAAAATAAAAACTTTGTGTGTATGATGTGTGTGTGAGCGGGGAGGGGACTACCTCAACAGTGTCAGGAGATAAAGGGTTACTGCCAGCATTAGTTGACCCAACCCTAACACTGTAGAATTGTTAGAGCTGAGAAGTTTTGCAGATACCAGGGCTATCTCAGTGGTGCCTTGAAAGCCTTATTTTGTCAGGGACTAAACTTAAAACCCTCTGCCTGGAAACCATACTCAGGATCTCTTTCCCCTATCACCTGTCTTCCCCACATTCTATAAAAGCAATCTTAATCTGATTTTTGGTCTGGAGCACTATCACAGCAGTAGGGTGTTTGCCTTGCACCAGCTGGCCCTGCCGACACTAGTTTGATTCCTCCGCCCCTCTCAGAGAGCCTGACAAGCTACTGAGAGTATTTCACCTTCACAGCAAAGATTGGCAAGCTCTGTGAGGTATTCGATATGCCAAACACAGTAACAACAAGTCTCACAATGGAGACGTTACTGGGCCCGCTCGAGCAAATCAGAACAACCGGAGGACAGTGCTACAGTGCTAATCTGATTTTTATGCATAAGATAAATGGACTAGTTCTGAAATAATTTTTAAAAATATTTCTTAAATAATTAAACATTGTAAGCACTTTCAGATGTCTAAAATTTTCTCTATGAAACAAAAAAGGACTAAAAATTTTGATAAAATTTAAATATTTAAATGATAGCTATAGACAAGAATTTTTCTACCACGAATAACTGAACATACTTAATATATCTCAACATGAATCCAAATCTATAGAAGTAGAAATTGTATGTATGGTTCCAGTTGGTTCTTGTTAATTGAGATAAAGTCAACACATTTTTGAAACTGCTACTACCTATTTCATGATACATGTAAGAAATTTTCATAGCAGTGAAGTTCCTCCAATCAAGTAGTTGTATGCTATTTTCTAATTTTTAATAATAGTCTTTACTTTTGAATATATGTAAAAACAATTGCTAGTGTTGTAAAAACAATTAACTGCTAGTGTTACAGAGTATTCAATTTCATGTGAAAGAAATGATGGGATATAGCTTCGTATAGATGAAATGAAATTAAAAACAATCAGTTGTTTACCTAACATCAGTTTTCTTTGGACACTGATGCTACTTATTTAGCTTATAACTGTAATAGCTATGCTGTTTTTTTCCAAGAAAAACAAAAGAAAATAAAACAAACAATAAAAACGAAAGAGCCCTTCACACAACAGAAGCACTTTTCTATCACTAATAAAGCACTGAAATAAATTAATAAGACTAATTTTTGTGACATTTTAGGAAAACCTACTTAAAACTAAGTAGAAACTACGAAAAAAATAGTTGAGTTTAGTTTAAATTTAATGTTAAATTAAACAATGTAATTTTTTAAAAAAATGAACTGTGTTCAAGGTTTAGACATTTAGTGCACTGTAGCACTGTAGCACTGTTCTTCCATTGTTCATCAATTTACTCGAGCAGGCACCAGTAATGACTCCATTGTGAGAAATGTTACTGTTTTTTTGGCATGTCAAATACCACATGGGGACCTTGCCAGGCCCTGCAATTTGGGCAGGATACTCTTGGTAGCTTGCTGGGGTCTCTGAGAGGGACAAAGGAATTGACCCTGGATCGGCCGTGTGCAAATTCCCTACCCACTGTGCTATTGCTAGAGCCCTAAAGTGTAAGTGACGTAAAATAATTCCACATTAAAGTTTTCATATGTATTCATATGTACATTCAAAAACTTTTCTTTCGGAATCAACATTGTCAAAATGACAATACTCCCAAAAGCATTATACAGATGCAACATGATCCCTATAAGGATACCCATGAAATTTTCCAAAGAAACAGATCAAACACTCCTGAAATTCATATGGAACAACAAACGCCCATGAATAGCTAAAGCAATTCTTGGGAAAAAGACATGAGGAGGCATTACTCTCCCCGATCTCAAACTCTATTACAAAGCAGTAATAATTAAAACAGCATGATACTGGAACAAAACCAGGGCCACTGACCAATGGAAGTGGTTGGAATATCCGTACACACAACCCCAAATGTATGAACACCTAAACTTTGATAAGGGAGCAAGAAATGTGAAGTGGAACAAGGAAAGCCTCTCCAACAAATGGTGCTGGCATAACTGGACAGATACATGCAAAAAAAAAAGGGCTCAGATTTCTGCCTAGGAAAAAGAAAATGGGAGGAATCAACCTCCCTAACTGCAAACTCTACTACAATGCAGTCATAATTAAATCATTATAGTACTGGAACAAAGGCAGAGCTGCAGACCAATGGAGAAGGGTTGAATATATTGACATCGCCCCCCTAATATATGATCATCTAATCTTTGACAAGGGAGCAAAAAATGTGAAGTGGAGCAAGGAAAGCCTCTTTAACAAATTTCACTGGAAAAACTGGACAGCTACATGCAAAAAAAAATGGGCTCAGATTTCTGCCTAACACCATGTGCAAAAGTAAGATCAAAATGAATTAAAGACTCAACATCATACCAGAATCCATAAGGTACATTGAAGACAAGGTTGGCAAAACCCTCCACGACATTGAAGCTAACGGTATCTTCAAAGATGACATGCAAGTGAAAATAGAGATAGACAAAAGGGACTATCTTAAACTAAGAAGATTCTGCACCTCAAAAGAAACTGACCAAAATATAAGGACAGTCTACAGAATGGGAAAGGATATTCCCCCAAAACCCATCCAACAAGAGGTATATATAATGGATATACAAAGTACTGGTTAAAATCCACACGAAGGAAATATCCAACCCCATTAAAAAATGGGGTGACCAAATGAACAGAAACTTTCTCAAAGAAGAAATTCGAGTGGCAAAAAGGCACATGAGAAAATGCTCTACCATCATCAGGGATATGCAGATAAAAACCACGATGAGATATCATCTCACACCACAGAGACTGTCCCACATCCAAAAGAACAAAAGCAACTGGTGTTGGTACGGATGTGGCGAGAGAAGGACCCATCTTCACTGCTGGTGGAATGCCAACTGGTTCAGCCCTTTTGGAAAATAGTGTGGACGATTCTCAAAAAATTACAAATTGAGCTACCATTTGACCCAGCAATATCACTGTTACTGTCACTGTCCTCCTGTCGTTCATCACTTTGCTGGATTGGGCTCAGAAATGTCTCCATTTTGAGACTTGTTGTTGCTGTGTTTCGCATATTGAATACGCCACGGGTAGTTTGCCAGGCTTTGCCATGCCGGCGAGATACTCTCGGTAGCTTTCCATGCTCTCCAAGAGGGGAGGAGGAATCAAACCCGCCTTGGTCGGGGTGGCTGCATACCAGGCTGCATACCGCTGTGCTATTGCTCCAGCCCTCAGCAATATGACTCCCGGGAATATATCCCAGAGAGGAAATAAAGCACAGTTAAAATGACATCTGCATTTCTATGTTCATTGCTGCACTATTCACAACAGCCAAAATCTGGAAAAAACCTGAGTACCCCAGAATGGATGACTGGTTAAAGAAACTTTGGTACATCTACACAATGGAGTACTATGCTGCTGTATGAAAAGATGAAGTCATGAAATTTACATACAAGTCGGACTACATGGAAAGTATCATGCTAAATGAAATGAATCAGAAACAGAGGTACAACCATAGAAAATTGCATTCATCTGGGGAATATAAAGTAACAAAATAGGAGACTAAAACCCAAGAATAACCGAGATAAGTACGAGGAGGTTCACTCCATGGCTTGGAGGCTAGACACACACGCTAGGGGAAAAGGCAACTCAGATAGAGAAGGGAGCACCAAGAAAAGGGTGTGGGAGGATCCTCCCAGGATGGGAATTGCATGCTGAAAGTGAACTTTAGACCGAACATGATAAACACTCAATGCCTCTTTTGCAAACCACAGCACCCCAAAGGAGAGAGAGAACAAAAGGTTGAATGCCCTGTCACAGAGGCAGGGTGGATGATGGGTTGGGGGTGGGTGGGAGGGATACTGGATCATTCTTGGTGGATAATGGGCACTAGTGGAGGTTGGATACTCAATCATTGTATATCTGGAATCCAAGCACAAAAATTTGTAAATCTACAATTGTACCTCATGGTGTTTCAGTAATTAAAATTTAAAACAACTTTTCTTTCAAGTCTTATAGCAAACTAGAGAAAAAATGGCTCCAAATAGGCAGCACCATTTCGCTAGGATAAATATTGTGTTATCTGCAATAGAATGTAAGCAATGACGTTGACAACTATGACTTTAACTCTCTTTCAACATCTTTATTTTGGTAAATGATACTTAAATTTTATCATATCTTATAGAATATCTATGTTCTTTGGAAAGTATTTTACATAATATTATGCATGAGGGATGAAGAGACATTACAGAGAACAGTATGTTTATGTTGCAACTAGCATCTCTGATTTGATCCCCAGTTACCCGTATGGTCTCCTGAGTTCCAGAATTAGTGGCCTCTTAAGAGCAGAAGTATGCCCTAAGCATTGTCAGGTGTGTCCCGCCCCAAAAATATAATAAAGGAAAAGAAATAGGTATAATATGCTATGCTACTAACAGATATGAAGACCTAAGATTAAATATGTAAATTTGATATTTTTTCAAGAACTTTCAACTTAAGTTTCAAATTGCCCCATTTTATTTATGTCTTACCTTCCCAACATTATTTCCCATCACACACTATCT